TGCACAAATAACGATGCAACTCACCCCTTTATTTATGTCGATCACCCCCGATTCCAAACTTTTGTCCAGTGTACATGTTTTGAGTTATTTTTGAATTGTGTAATGATTTAACACAACATTCCATTCATTCTCCTATATCAATCTCATTCTCTATCCAATTGGTGGTTGCTTGATAAATCCTCCTTTTGCAAGGTATTCAATGTTGATAAATTCTTCAAAGGAATCCATTCGAATAATTACTTTTGTTATATTCTTTTATTAAATTGTCGACCTCTTTATATTATTGCATCACCTGAACACGAAATTTAAAAAGGTGATATCTCGTGACCCAACGCTCACAGTGCTACGATGTTCAAAAATTGGGGGCTATCATACCATACTTATCCATATATAGAAAATTCACGTTGGTTTGATGCAATACTTAGTAAATAAACATTAGAAAATAGTGCGCGATCTTTTCGCGTTTGTAAATAGCACCCCGTTTATATACTTTGTGACCTGGCCCTCCTCTCAAAAAAATTATAGACCATATGATTTACCTGTAGTTTGAAAAACGAACTCGAATTTGTACCCTTTTAGATGAATGGATCAAGCAACGCAAAAAAGAAACGGGTACCTTTAATGACAAACCAAAGCCCGGACGCCTGAGACTACTTACCGGCCGCTATGAGCGAAAAGTGTTGCAGTATATTGCACCAACGCCGTTTCTGTTCAAACAAAGCTAAAAACTGAAGAGGGAATTATTGTTAGTGAAAACACAATCAAACGGACTTTGCGCCGTAACGTAAAAAGCCGTATCTATCTATTATCTACTTTTCAACATAATGAATTAGTCTTTGAAGTTAGAATGAGAAAAGAAAACAAAGATTTTTTGGAGAAAAATTGCAAATTATATTAATGAAATAGGTAACGAACATTGTATTATATACTGTGCCACAAAAAATAAGTGCGAGGAATTGCTAGTTGGATTAGAAATTTAATTGAAAATTCTATTGGATTATATCATGGAGGATTAAATAATAGTACACAACAACAGATTCTTAAATCATGGAAATTAGTAGTTATTAAAATAATAATTGGAACTTCAGCTTTCGGAATGGGAATTAATTGTATAAATGTTTGATGTATTGTTTTTGTAAATGCTCCAATGAATATAAGTAAGACCCCACAAGCACCAACGTTTAATGTTTGCAAAGAAGTACGCGTCTTGGACCGTCGAAGACTGGAGTAAAGTGGTGTGGTCGGACGAATCTAAGTTCATGATTTTTGGGTCCGATGGTCGAGAGTATTGTTGGAGAAAGCCTAAAGAACCGTTACGAGACCACCATGTTCAACCCACGGTCAAGTTTGGAGGAGGCAGTATCATGGTGTGGGGGTGCTTCACGTCAAGTGGTGTCGGCAATCTGCCGCATTTATGGAAACATGGATGGTGCTCTATACCGTCAAATATTGGAGAAGACCTTCTAGGAACCATCGAGTGGCATTATTTGGATAAAAGAGACATTATCTTTCAACAAGATAATGATCCAAAGCACACCGCACGTCTTACGAAGGAGTGGTTGGAAGAAAACGAGGTCAAGGTGCTCGATTGGCCTTCCCAATCCCCGGACTTGAACCCAATCGAGTATTTGTGGAATCAAATGGACCGTCGTTTGAGAAGACTTGGACGCATGAAAACTCTTGATGAATCGTGGGATGCTGTTCAAAAGGTTTGGGTTGAGTTAGATGTAGACGTGTGTAAACGGCTCATTGAATCCATGCCGTCCCGTATTAATGATGTGATTAAAGCAAAGGGTGGTTATACTAGATGGTGAATAACAATTCATCAAATATTTTTGTAATAGAATCGTTTTTTATTAAATTTATTTTATAATAAATAAAAATAAAGAAAACGATCAAAATAAATGCATCGCACAAAAGACTATTATTTATTATAATTTAATTTTTTTTATTGTTGCAAAAAGAAATTTATATCATTTAATATTTTCGATTTGATGATTTCAATAAAGCCTTTTTGCGTTGCTGTGATCTCTGTGCCACGAGATATTGAAGATTTAAATTTCGTGTTCAGGTGATGCAATATCTTTGGTCGCCACTGTATTTCATATATTGCTTATAATTTTTTTTTATTTCGATATTAGGCTTTATTTCCTAGGTTCCTTGCTGGTAAAATCTACAAAGTGTTGGCGGTAAAATGGTGTTGATCTACGACATGGCTCAACACGCCAGACACGGGACAAGTTCAAGTCACAGTGGAGTACCGAATGGTACTATATCCATGACCTTTGAAGAATCTGATGATAAACTTACGCTTCTACAAAACTGGTCCATCCGTATCAAAAAAGATTGGATCCGTCTCACTCCACACGTCAACTATAAAGAAATCTCTGCTCATCGTACACAGTAATTGCGTTCATAACATTATTTGTCGAGGTTTCCATTAAATGAACTATTAGTTGTTTAAATTCGTATATATTTTAATTGTTTATTGTGGTAAAAACACCTACAGACAGCGAAATCAGAATGGTTTTGCAGGTAATTAATTTTAAAGTTATATTAGTTATATTGATATGAATTACCTATTTGGATGTTTAGGCTCTACGTATAAATGGTTGTCAAATTCTTGCCGGTAATTTTATAAAAAATAAATAAGATAAGCTCCAAAAAATGATTGCCAGGTTCCGAGTAATTCATAGAACATATTGACATTTCACACGAATTATATATTAATATAGGCTCTTTGAGTGGTTGCCGAGTTCCATTTACGGGGGTGTTGGCGTGTTTCAACGGTTTCTCGAGCAATTATATTAATCTCACCACATTACTATGGACATTATATGAATTGTAAAATTTTATTCAGTTATTTAGGCCCTGCAGTTATCAAGTTCGTTTCTGCGGCTGTAGGAGTGTTTCGATGTTCTTGCAGATAATTCATAAGATCTATGCATGCTTATAAAATTTGTTTTGGTGATTTACGGTTCAGGTTCATTTAAGAAAGTTTCGGCGGATGTTGACGGTCTCGAAAAACATGTTGGCATTTCATAAGATCTATGTATGCTTAAAAATTTACTTTGGTGATTTCGAAAGGAAACCTGTTGCCTACCAACGGAAGAACGCTTACCTCATTGCAACCTTCGATCGGGAAACCAACACCAGATCTACCAAAAGAAAACTCGTAATTGCAAAACGAACTTACCAAATTTTCACGTCCAAGGTGAATGTCACCGCAGAGAACGAACATTACCGCTTCACTAGGTTCTTCGTGCGGAGTTTTCAGCGTGTTGGCATGTTTTTGACGGTCTCGCGGTAATTATATTAACCCTAATATTAATATGGATATTATTCGAATTATGCTTATGAAATTTTATTTTCAATGTTTAGTCTCTATCGGCAGGTGGTCCATTTGGCCTTGTAAAAGCTATATCATTTCGTCCATTGGATTTAAAAACCCATTGGTCCAAATGGCGTAACTTTTATAAAGCCAAATGGTCTAATTGCCAAGATTATCTCAAAGTGGCTTATAGGTTATAGTAGGAAGTAAAGTTAAATAATAACTGTTGCAGAAATAAAAATAATTCGAATTTGTCCGAATTTTGTTTTCATGTCTTTGAAACCGGTGCATCACAAATTGAGTTATCTAATCATTTTTTCAACCTAGTTTTATATTGAGTGCCTTTTAAAAAATAAGCGATTGCCGTGTGTTTGTAAAATTGTCAGGGAATTGTGTTCATTTTTAAAGAAAACAGAGTATGCGTAATGTTTGATGAGAGAATTAGATTTACTGTATAATAAGATCGTGATTATCGTTATGCAGACATGCACGGTCTGTGTGTATGCTATCACTATGTTATGTGATAGATAAATACATGTGCATGTACATGTAATCTTTTTTATGAACGATATGTTCCTGACGTTAACAAAAAAACCAGCGATATTTATTTATTCGTCAACATTACATTTTATGCGAATTTGTGTAGCTGAATGAAATTCAACTCAGATTCATCCGGATGATCTAGACGCTTCATATTCAAATTTCTTCGAATAGAAAAATGACAAACTAAGAAAAATTTTGCTTTACTTTAAAAATAATTCCAAATCAATAATTTATTTTGAAAGCTGCAATAAATTAAAGCATTCCTGTTAATTATGACAATAGAAGCATAAAAATGAAAAAAAGATGTAAGCTTTCTCTTATATAATGTAAAATATCGATATCTGGTGTACTTAATCCGCAAAATACAAATAATTTTAATTTGATATATAAAATGTTTTTGAAACTAAGTTTTAACATGTCATCGACAATTACCAACGGGTTTATCATACAAAAGTGTGATTAAATTATGAAAAATGTTCCTATAAGATAGTAAATAAATGCACCATCCATGTTTTTCAAATTCAAGCCCTGTAAAAATTGACTCTGATCATAATCCGGCTAAAATTCGATTATGTTAAATTCGGCCAAATTCGTTTTTTAATATCTGGTAATAAATGGTTTTTGACCGGAATTTATTAAATTCTTGTTTATCATCAGACATTAAAAAATGGAATTTTGCATTAATTATATTGACCAATCAAAATTCAGTTAAATAAAAATACCATAATTGATTTTTACTGCTTGAATGTTTTTTAATTTCTTTTGTTATAAAAGTAATTTCTTATAATTTTAATGACTTTCACCTAATAAACATGTTTTGAGTAACTAAATAAAGTTGCTCAGCAAATTTGCATCAGTTTTCATAAAATTATTATAATTTTTGCTATATAATAATTTTTTAATTATGTATAGAAAACTTTGCTGGATGCTTTTAATAACTTCTATCTAACAATTAATTTTCAGCAAATTTGAATAAAGGTTCATTGATAGTTTTAATTAATAAGCAAAAATAATATAATATTCAAATAAAAATTTTTAAATAAATATATCTTCTTATTAGACTTAAAAGTATTAAAATTATTATTAAATAATACAATTTTATAGTTTAACATATTATAAATTCAATAAATTCATTTAGTTAATTTTTTTATAAATATCAAATATATTTAATTTCTAATATTAGATTATATTTATTTTTTTGAATAAATAAAAAAATTAATAAATAACTTACCAAATTTTTCAAAAACTAATTATTTTTAATTTAGATTATTAAATTATATAATTATTACAGATCTTTATTATATTAGTAATATAATTATTACAGATCTTTATTATATTAGTAATATTTTGTAATATTAATTTAACAAAATAGATATATAATAGCTTTTATAATTATAAAATTAGAGAGTTAATTTTACTAATAAAAATTGAAATATTCTTTTTATATTAAACTTTATAATTTATTAAGAAAAATTTTTATTTTTATATTAAAATAAGATTTATAATTTATAGTTTAATATATATTTTTCAGAATTTTTAGATTTTTTCTGAAAGAGTTATTCTAATTATAAAGTTTATATAAAAATTTTTATTAATTAAATTTTATTTTATATTAGTAAAAATTTTTGTATTGACTTTATAATTAGAATAATATTTTTAGAAAAAATCTAAAAAATATATATGTTAAACTATAACTTATGATTTTATTTTAATATAAAAATAAAGATTATTTCTTAATAAAATTATAAAGTTTAATATAGAAAGAAAATTTCAATTTTTATTATAGTTTGTTAATAAAATTAATTTTCTAGTTCTATAATTATAAAAGTTATTATATATCTTAATATTAAT